ATTAGCACTCCGCAGCAGCAGCAGCGCGCCTCAGTGTTCGACTCACTGGGGGCATCCTTCTCAGCCTCGCACGTATCGAGTATCAATGCAGGACGCGGACAAAGAGCGAATAAAGCGTGTTGATATGTTGTCGTCATCGTCGACGTCTAAATTGGCGCTAACATGCAGAGGCGTAGCTACGGGGGGGGAGGCCTGGGGGCAAATTTTCTGACGCGCCCCCAGGTCCCCCCCCCCTAAAACTTCATGCTTGATATAAAAAAAAATTGAATTAAAAACAATGCCGTTAGAACAGTATAATACAAAGAAAAGTTATATATTGTGCCCCCCACGAAAATGTAAGGCCCCCAGTGCCCCCCGCTGAAAAAATCTTAGCTACGCCACTGGTAACATGTATATGTTACGGCGCCTTCTCATCATGCACTCCCCCGGAGCGGAAAGTGCAACTATGTATATTACCTGTCCGCAGCGTCCACGCCTGATCGATACAACCTAGAGTGCGTAATAGAAAATCTTCTATTTAGGAAAAAATTTCTATAATGGATTTCTATTATGATATAACCCTGCAACCCTGGCATGATCCTCATTCAGTCGATCCTCACAGTGAATCTACGGGGATGCACACTGGAGTTACAATATAATTCACCTATCCATCTTAGCGAGATAACAACGCATAACGTCTTTGAATGTTGTTGCTAGGTCGGTGTCAAACCAGACCAGTTTATACACGTGTTTTTCACGTGCGCACGCTAAATTATTAAATTAACTTAAGTTTAAATATAAGCTTAAATTTATAAATTAACTTTAAGGTATATATCGTTACTAAGCTGCGTTCTTAAGAACGCGTCTATCGATGGACTATAGCTACCTGTCGAGCGGTCCTCGCATCAGGCTGATACCTGTAGTAAACGCTCGCTATTAGCCCGCGAGAAACCCAGCAAGCGTGAGTTACAAATCACTACGTGTAGGTGTTTATATATATATATATGTGTGTGTGTGTGTGTGTGTGTGTGTGTGTGGCTGTGAGTGTGTATGTCTGCGTAAGTGCGTGCGTGCGTGCGTGCGTGTGTGTGTGTGTGTAGAAGTAAAATAACACAACCGAACACCCACGTAGATAAAAACAAATTAAAAATATATGTAAAGAGTGCATGTCAGCTGAGAGCCTATAAGGAAGAGATGCACGTCTCGCTCGCTAACGCTACCTCTAAGCTCGCTGATTAAAATGTAAACACCCTTTACATGTTTTTTTAATGTTTATGTATATATATATATATATATATATAGGACCGCCATCCCTGTGACCTCTCCGGCCGCCCGAGCTGCTTATTTAATTAGCTAATAGTTCCATAAATTGCCGTTAATTCGTCGACATCTCCTCGGATGAACAGCGCCACTATATCGCCCCTTCAGTCGCACTGCTTCTTCTAACGCCAGCCTCCTCTTTCGCGGCCGACGTGCGCTAACAGAAGCAAGAGGAGACAACGGATTATTGACCCAGAAAGTCATTTCCTTTATTAGTACACGGCGGCGCGTCACACCCGGACGCGGCTATATACAGACAGACACCTTGCCACACGCGCGCGCCATCGCTGCTCTCTTGTTACCTTACTCGTGTTTACTGAACCCCCGGGCTGCAGAAAATTAGCCGCGAGAAGGAAGAAGTTGAGAATGCTAGTTATATATATATTCGCCAGCGAACGCGCTAAGCCGCATTACGACGTCTGTCTGTGACGCCTACTCCCCGGATTACGTGACATGAGCTTTAAGGTGAGCCCAAGTTACAGGCATTTGGAGCTAGGTTATCATGTTGTGAGCGTGACGGCAGGGCTTAAGTTACCTAGCCGAAAGCAGTTTACCCACATGCGAGGTTGAGTTATATACATATATATATTGGGAGCATGACAAGTTAACTGCGAGCTGGAATTAAACATGTGAGATGAACTGCCTGTAGATTGGAGACCCGGCAGCCTGCGAGGTGAAAACTGTTACTTATACTTACAGCTTCTGTACATTGATTCGGTTCGAGAGAACAGATGCATTCAGGAATCGCGGCAATAAGCGGATGTGGTGGATGGTAAGATATATAGTTTGAAATGTCACTATCTTATGTTAAGTGCTAGTTTATGTTAGTTTACCCTAACCCTAACCCTATGCCACTTATCCACTCAGTGCAATTCACGCAATTTCACGCACGCGCGCACGCACGCACGCACGCACGCACGCACACACTCACACACTCACACACACACACGCACACACACACACACACACACACACACACACACACACACGTCTCTGCCTCTTCTCAGAGCTAACGTCGTCATATCCTCTCGTTCTCTCTCCCCCCATCCGCACCCCAGCACCGACGCAGCATTAGCAGGGCTAATGTGACGATGCGTGACAGAGACGCTCTGCCTCTCGCCGCGCTCGCTCGCGCGGCATTTTTCGCGCCTCTAATTCCCTAATTGATTTTATTAGCTTTGAAACGGCGCTAAAGAGAGCAAACACGTCAACGCTCGCCAGCTAATTGGTTTTGGCGGACCGCGGGGAGGTGTGCGCGCGCGCGGCGGCGCGTGTGTGTGTGTGTGTGTGTGCGTGTGCGTGTGCGTGTGCGTGTGCGTGTGCGCGTGCGCGCGTGCGTGCGTGCGTGCGTGCGTGCGTGCGTGCGTGTGTGTGTGTGTGTGCGCGAGTGTGTGTACGTAAGAGTGTTTATGTAAGAAAGAGAGGTACAGTCTCTTGCTTCTAGGGTTTAGTCTCTTGCTTCTAGGGGTTAGTCTCTTGCTTCTAGGATTCAGTC